ATAGACACGTACTTAGACATTTAATTAATTTATTATTCACATCGACGATTAACAAACCATTCCCAACTTTTCACAACTAAACACATATAATGTCCTTAGAAAGTAAAAACGATTACATCATAAACATTAAATCATCTAATAACACTCAGCCATATACTTTAATAATAATCATAATAATAATTAATAAATAAATAAAGGAATGATAAGTAAATATTAATTCCTAGAGATCCCATCACTTCCAATAATGCATAATCTTCGAATATAAAAAATAACAACCAGGAATACCATAAAATACTATAATTTAATCTCAAAATGAAACCATAAACAAAATAATTCACATAACAGTCAAGCCTCGTTTATAGGGTCGTTCTTGCATTTCTCGAAGGATGAAACTATCTTGGAATACTCTCGGTCATCCGATGGGTCAAGCTTCCCAAACTTAGTCAGCCGGACCTGTGGGGCCTACGACCTCGATGTACGATCCGAAAGTTCCTACGGGTTCAACAAGGCTAAATATAAAAGTTTTGCGAGCTTGGTTCGTATCGAACGGTCAGATCGCTCGCAATCGCATGATAGGACGGTTATTGTTTAACACAAACTTCAAGTCATTGAATTGGAGTATCCGGGACTCCGATTCAAGATCCGCGAATTCCTACACGATCCTAGAGATTCTTAGATCCACATATATTGAAATGAAGTTGATCCAACGGTCCGAACATAACAAACCCGGATAACGCCTAATATGCGATATTCGATCGACAGTCAAATGATAACCAAATTCAAATCCGAGCGTACCTTTGTGCTCGGGACAACATGGGGATTATTTTAGAACGCAAAGACTAGTCACAAAGTGGACCACGCACCAACACCGTGTGGGTGCCTCAAAGCGATTCTGGAGATCAAAAAATCTCCAAACCGTTGGTCAAGACCTATACCTACATGATCAGGACATTGAGTGGAGCAAATTTTGTTTTGGGCCATGGCCAAAAAGTGGCCAGAGATGATCATAATCGCGAATTGAAAAGCGACTGAAACTTTAAGCGACAATTTGAGTTTCAAAATGCAAAAATTGATCCTAAATAACCCAACCATTAGCCATAACGCATTGAGAGGATGAAAAGCATACCTAGATCGACAAAAAAGGTGGCCGAAATAGGCCGAACGAACACTTGGAAGTTATGGGTAAAACCAACGATATTTTTGTATTTTCCGGCGAAATACGGCGGCAATGGTGGCTGCAGAGGGGTGGGGTAGGAAGAGGATGATGTGTTGGTTATTTTGGTACCAGTGCTGTCGCTTGGGTTGGCCGTTGGAGGAGATGGCAGCCCAAAAACTGTTCAGATGAACAGTAACAGAAGGGGGGCTACTGCTTGCGAAGGGAGAGAGAGGGAAGAAAGAAAAAGAAGAAATTATTTTAAAACAGACCGGTACTGTAGCAGTACTGTTTGCTACAGTAACAAATTAAAAAATTTCCATTACGCCATTTTTGTTTCTAGACCTTTTCTCCTTCATTACAACTCGGAATTGGGCGTTCCACATGAGCTCTACACAACGGTACTAATACAATTCCTAAATTCTTTCTTGAACAAAAAGTTAACTTTTTAACCCATTAAAATATTCCCAAGGGTAAAATTGTCTTTTACTTGAATACTTGAATAATTAAATATTAATTTAGGATCGTGTTATTACAAATATTCTTTAGGTAAAATAATTGTGCTACTTAAATCCTATTTAATTAGCCAATTATCCTCATTTAAGATATGAACATCTCTCTAAATCAAGTATTCGATTTCTACCAATTCTCATTGATATTATCCTCTCATTCTATTTATGGAAAAGAATAATTCCCATCAATAGGGAATTATTCTCCACAAACCCTACCAAAGATGGAGACTCTATATAAAGATATCATCACACCACACATGAGGTAATTCTGAAAACCTAGCAAAAATACCAAAAATTCACGCCTCTCTCATGGCTATGCGTCGTCATCCCACTCTCAACTCCGCGCCTCCTCCTCTCACGTAAAGCTTCATCCTTTCAGTTAAATCTAAATCTCTCTGAGAACATTTTAGTGACTTAGGCATCAGATGGCTTTAACCAACACTCCCTAGGTGTTCTCCATTGACTGCCATTCATTTTACAAGGTTCGAGGAAGATGACTATCGAGAGAGAAGAGGATCTTCTGCAAATATTCTCCCCGAAATTTATTTGTACAACACTAGATTTCTAAGCTTTCTCGTATATGGTCGTCAACATTTATAAAAAATAACATGTGCATATTATAGTTTCTTGAAATGAGACTTTAAATCTCATTTAGGTTTAACTTTAGTAATTAGTATATAAAAACGAATATAAAGTAAACACACATTACACCAATCAATCATTTTTTAGTAGTATTAATCTTTTCAAATGGTGAAAATTTGTCAAAGTTTGAAAGCCCTTTTTATTGTTAATACAAAGAAAGTAAATACGTATAACATTCGATGATGATGATGATAATAATAATATTATTATTAAGAAAAAAAAACATTTCAATGGTGGAAAAGTATAAATTGGATAATAGATAATCTTTTGCGACAATCACTAGACCCCCTCACAAATAGACATCCTTTTACGAGAGCTACTGATTGCCCTCATAAATAGATAATCATTTATGAAGACTTCTAATCTCTCGGAAATGGCTATGATTTTCCGACAACGTGAACATGCCGTCGGAGCAAAGCACAACTAGTACTGACAAGGATCAGTTTGGTCGTAAATAAATGTGGCGCCAATTTTTCCTGCAAAAAAAAACAACTATTTCTGATAATGAAGAAACTCTTTTCCAAGGGTAATTTGGGTGTTGAAATTTGTAAACACCTCTTTGATATATTTCTGACATATTGTACTTTGTTGTTGGAAATGGTGTTTTTTTAAAAGGATATTTGCAGTTCCTTCGAAAAAATTCATTGCAAATGACAACTTTTTTTTGGGGACATTTTGAAAAAGGCCAAGGAGAGAGAAATATTTTTAAAAGAAGCAAAATGGACAAAAATGCCCTTATGTTATTTTTGGATTTCCTAAGAAATCCTTTACATTTGCATGTCTTTGGTTTAAAAGTTGAGGGATTTTTCTGTTTTTTTTGAAAAAGTTTTGACTTTTTTCAAAAGTGAAAGTGTTTTTTGGCTAAAACTTAAATTTATTATTATTTTTTTTTGGTAATGCATTTAGGTTGAGGAGGGTATATTATTATTTGGCACGTACACACTTTATTGTTCCAGCTTTCATTTAGTTAAGATATGGCCGACTTATCATATTTATATCGAAAGGGAGGCTTTCAAAGACAAAAAACATATCAAACCAATTGGAGTAAGTGGGGCTCCAAAATTCATGATAAGGCAAGTCACATTCAAACACAAAAGGAAGGCCGTGTGGTCCACTGGGCTTGTGAGCTAGTGATTTCCAGATTCTTCTGTGCCTCCCATTTTGCTCGGAGCCACATCGATATGACAATATATGTCGATCCTGCTACGATCTATGGCATTCAGTGTCAAGATAATTCATCAAGTCCACGTTTTTTGTATTTTTAAATACAATTGATAGTTACAAGGAGGAGGGTTTCTCACGCAAATAACATTAAAGTGTCATGGGTATTCGAATTTGAAACTACTTATCTGCAAGTCAAAACTCAGAGCCGCATGCATGATTGTTGGACCTAGTTGTGCCAAGTTTCTAGTATATAAGAGCATCTTTGATGGGGATCTAAAAAACCAGTTTTGAGACTACTGGAATAAACATGGTGTCTTTTCATTTATATTATTTTTTGCAGTGGGGGCACTCAAAACTTGGGATTTCAAATTTGAGTTTCAAGCGTAATATTTAAGAATCCCCTCTCATCACCGGAATCATTATATCCAATAGTATATCCAACTAATTAAAACCTTATATCAATCTACATTAATGTTTTGTTTCCCTTTCGTTTCAATTTTAATCTAAAACTATACGAAAATATACATTTGTTCCATTCCCAAAAAGTGCATGGAGATGTACTTTTTACTTAAACTGAATTCGGCCTCTTCAAATTTGAGGACATTTTTTCTGTCCCAATCCAGAATTTAAACATGTGACATCAACACATGCCCTGAGAATCCTGATAATATGACACAAAACAATCAAAATATCGTATTTAGGATCAATAGATATTGGTCATTAATGTACACAAAAGGGGTCACGAAAAAAGATTTGTATTGGCACTTTTGGTGCCTAGAGTATATTAGACACTAAATTGGACACCAAAATTGTCAATACAAACTCCTTTGTGGACACCAATATCCATGCCAGTTGATCATTTTTTTACTAGTATTTTCAAGCATTTTTAAGATATGATAAGTCCTCTTTGTCGTTAAGGAACCGAGTTGGATTAGATTTTTTAATTAGCAGTGGAAAACTAAAACAAAGAATTTACTTAACATATTTACATAGTAACATGTAACCATATTTATGTTTAAGAAACACAGAAGCATAAAAAACTCAACCCTAACTAATCTAAGTACTCGACCAGACCCAAATAGGTTCAAATAGAAATGAAAGGTTTCAGAAGTTCAACAACATCAATTGAGTGTAGGAAATACAAATTAAAAAATCTCCCCAATTAAGCAGAACATAGTGTAAAACATAGTGACCTCAATGCAGAAAGATAAATGCTGCAAAAATGTTACTTGAATCAGTCAAAGAAACATAATAAAGTTTGGTAAATTAATTATTTAAATTTAAATATTAAATTAAATTAATATAATATAAATAATTTAATACTATTTAATTATTCTCGAAATTAATTAGAATGTTCTTGACAATTGAGCCCGTACATTCTTGAAAAAAGAAAACAAGCCATTGAGCCCAAGCCACGCTTGGGTTGGGCCTTTACGGTCCTTGTTTGCGCCTCTGCCATAGAATACGATTATTTCCATCACTATTTCTAAAGCTTTTACCATGTTGCAGATTGCAATGCAAGCGCTAATATGAAAACCTTGAGAAGAAACAAGGAGGGAATCTATAACACCGCTCAAAACTATCACAGAAAGTTCTCAGCCATCGCCAAGGGCGCTAGAGCTGACAGATCTAGACACCAAGAATGCCTTGTTTTGGTGGAGATAAGGGACACTTATACTCCACTTCTGCATCAAATCTTGCAAAGCTGTGCAAGAACAGGTGAACCCATGGAAGGTAAGGCCTAACATGGACAGATCATACGTGTTGGATTGCAAGCAGGCACTTTAACATCTAACATACTCATCAACATGTATTCTAAATGCGGTTTAGTTGATTGTGCTGGCAAAGTTTTTGATGAAATGCCTCAAAGAAGCTTAGTTTCATGAAACACGATGATTGGGTCACTTACCCAGAATGGGGAGGAACAGAAAGCTCTTGGTCTTTTCTTGTAGATGCGAAGAGAAGGAAACCATTTTAGTGAATTCACTGTTTCGAGTGTTCTTTGTGCTTGTGCAGTGAAATGTGCTGTTTTTTAGTATAAACAACTGCACGCTCTTGCTGTTAAGTTAGCAATGAATTTAAATGTCTATGTGGGAATTGCATTGCTTGACGTTTATGCAAAGTCTGGTTTGATAAAGGATGCAAGCTGTGTGTTAGCGTCTCTGCCAGAGAGGAGTGAGGTTACTTGGAGTTCGATGGTAGCCGGGTATGTGCAAAATGGGCTTTATGAGGAGGCTTTGATGTTCTTCCATAGAGCTAAAATGGTGGGGTTATAGCAAAACCAGTTTACAATTTCTTCTGCTATTTGTGCTTGTGCAGGTCTGGCAGCTCTAATTGAAGGGAAGCAGGTGCATGCCGTGTTATGTAAAACTGGATTTGGTTTGAATATATTTATTGTTTCCTCTCTTATAGACATGTATGCAAAATGTGGTAGCATTAAAGAAGCTTACTATGTGTTTCGAGGTATGGATGAGACAAACACTGTGTTATGGAATACCATGATTTCTGGGTTTGCTAGACATGCTTGCTCCCTAGAGGTGATGATCTTATTTGAGAAAATGCAGCAGATGGGTAGGTTCCCAAGTGAAGTAACGTATGTTTCTGTATTAACTGCTTGTAGTCATATGGGATTGATTGAAAGTGGAAGGAAATACTTCAACCTCATGATAACAGAACACAATGCGTCACCTACTGTTGTTCACTATACATGCATGGTTGATCTTTTTGGTCGGTCAGGATTGTTGTTTGAAGTCTATAATTTGATAGAGGAAATTCCATTTGATGCTACTGCTTCCATGTGGGATTCACTGTTGGCTTCTTGTAGGATCCATGGAAAACTTCACTTGGCTGAGGTAGCAGCTAAGCATTTGTCTGAGATAGAACCTAATAATGCCGGAAACCATATTCTGCTGTCAAACATTTATGCAGCAAATAAGAAATGGGATGAAGTTGCAAGAACAAGGAAACTTCTTAAAGAAAGTGAGTTGAAGAAGGAGAGAGGGAAGAGTTGGATTGAAATCAAGGACAAAGTTCAATCATTTATGGTCGGAGAGTTTCGCATGTTAGAATTGCTGGGATATACTCAAAATTGGACTGTTTGATCGAAGAGTTGAAGATTATGGGCTACACGGCTGAAACTGAACATGACCTTCATTATATGGGAGAGAACAGAAAACATGAACCTTTAAGGCACCACAGTGAGAAACTTGCTCTTACTCTGGGGTTGATGTGCTTACCTTCAAATGCATCTATCAGGATCATGAAGAATCTTAGGATTTGTGGTGATTGCCATTCTTTTATGAAGTTGCATCATCTTGTACAGGGAAGGAAATCATCGTCAGGGGTACTAACAGGTTCCACCATTTCAAGAATTGTTGTTGTTCTTGTCGGTAATTTTGGTAGAAGATTTATTTAATGGCTATTTATCCAGAATATTAGATATCAAGATACTTTTGGTAAGAAAGTGTACTAGATTTCAGAGATGTCAGAGACTCCCGAAATTTGGTCTTCTGCAATTGGAATTATATCTATGGGACCTTGCATTTTGAAAATCAAAGGGCTGGCTGTGTGAAAGACCTTCCAGTGACTAGAGGAGTAAACGTAAGAAAAGTGTTAAGAGACTAAAAGACTTTACCAAATCTCCTTACTTATCACCATTTTGAGCCCACAATGACATCAAAACTCATGTAGCCCCCAAATGATTTTATCAAAATTTTCCATGCTCACAATTAGCTTTGCAAATTACAGACTAATAAAAAAGTATATAACATTGAGGTTTTTGAATGAATTATGATTTGGGTTAGGTTAAATTGGGCTTATTGGAAAATCATTATGCCTGATATATGTCCAAAATACTATGGGTTTGAAGAGATGTAGAATTTGTCGGGCTCAAGATAACTTAATATCAGATTATTTTAGGTCGGCCGACTAAGGGTGGGCATGATTCGGTTCAATCCAATAGGTGATGTAAGCTAGCTATTGATTTGTTGAATCATGCAAAAAGATGAAAAAGAGAGAGAGATGAAGAAGAGAGAAAGATGAAGAAAGAGAAAAAGAAGAAAGAAATAATGAGGCACAACAAAAAGAAGAGTTAAGGGGGCGTTTGGTATCCTATTCAAATAGGAAACTCAAAAACTTTGATTTTTCTTAAAAAAAGGAGTTCTCAAATCTATTTTTAAGATTCAAAAACTTGTTTAGTATGTAACTTGAAAATTGTTTTCTAATATTAAAAATTTGAGAACTTCTTGTTTGAATTCTTGAAAACATTTTTTTTTCAAATTACATTTTTGTCCTTGGGGTAGATGGAGCTCATTGATGCGAGTTCGTAGACAGGCGGCAGGCTCAATGCTGACTCGAAATGAAGAAGTTATGATTTACGGAAGTGCAGTGGCACAACCGTAATTTTTACAAAGTGAAATTTGAAAAACCTCAATCAGCTCTCTCTCTCTCTCCCCAACACACTCTCTCTCTAACAAGTGAATAGTGGCTGGCAGGACTAGACAAAAATTCCACTTTGGAATATGAGCCGAACCCTATGCATGTCCGACACCTGGCAGGTGCTGAGCACACTTGACCAAATTGCCCTTCTAACTAAAATTCAAAAATTTCTCTAGGGTTTGACTTCTACCAAAAATTCGTTAGTCTCCCTTGTAAATTGCTCGTTTCCCAATCACTTTCCACCTGTAAATATATCATTAACATTGAAAAACAATTCCCAATCGCTCAGCATGCTTCAGACGAATAACTTTGAATCACCTTAGGCCTCCATAAATCAAATAAAACATTCCATCCTCTGAATCTGAACTCAACCCTTAGAATAATGTGAATACTTAATCAATTTTCAATAAAACCCAACTGAACAAATTTTCAGCACTTGATCTTATGGCTGCACCTAGTAACTCTAGGTTGCCTACGTACCCTTACAAGGGATCAAGCCATACGTAGTTCTTTAAGCAAAACTTATAAGTAATTCGAATCCATTTGCTGAAACTCAATTAAGGGCTATTGATGTTAGAACAATCTTTCATTTATTCGACGTGCATAATAAATAAATAAATAAATAAATATATAATTAACATATTACTTATCAGTAGGAAAATGATAAAATTAATAAAATAGCATTCACCACTTGAAACCTTAATGTCAATACCCACAATTTAAAATAAAATATGCTTCCCTCTTTCACATGGAAAAACAAATTCATCACTTAAGAGAATAGATATGATTTGTAGAAAATCCATAAAACTTGGAAACCTTCAACTCTTGTCTCATAAAATAAGAAAATAGGTATTAAAACTTCTACTCAAAAATATTAAGATGAAATCATCAGTTTTAGTTTGAACCTCTTAAAACCAAAATACTCTCCACCTAGGCGTACCCCATTTCATGATCCGTCAATTCCAATAGTATTCCGTCAATTCCCATAATATTTCGTCAATTCCAAGTGTCACATAAGTGACACATCCTCGCAAGACTTAGGGGACATTTAGTTAGCCTGAGCCGCATCCCTCGCAAGACTTAGGGGACACCTAGTCAACCTGAGTAGCACATCACCATGCCAAAAAAGGGCTTCAACTCCGTTGCCTATTACCCATAAATACCGTGGTATTCAAGCCTGTTGCCTATTACTATGTAATAGGCAACAGATATTATCCGTGGCCTTTTTATAGTTACAACATCGGATATTTGGTAAAATCTGATGTGTAAATGATTTCTGTGTGCCAAAAAACGTTGACTTCTGATGGCTAAACTTGAAACAACATCAGTAGATTCAAAAGAGAGGAGGCTAAAGAGGTATTATAGCATCAGTGGTATCTGCTACACTGATGCGTATTATCAATTACAACATCGCAAAAACAAATAGTGCTGTTGTGAATTATGTTATATGTCATTGCTTTTTCTATTTTGCAGACGTGAAAAGCCTCCAATAGTGTTGGTTGTTATATAAATGCTAATGCTACTTCGAGTTTTAGGCATTGGTAATCATAAATGTCTGGTTGTTATTTTTATCTTTCAACTTCAGTTATTTCTGAAAAACTGAAGTTGTTATAAACAATAAGCATCACTTATGTAAGGAAAATGTAGGTATTTTGCATGTTTCACATCACACTTTACTTGGTTACTGTCTTAGTATATCAAAAAGGCATTATTTTCAAATCATGTTGTGTTGCCATTGCTCATAAAAAAAATATTATATAAACAATAATTTAAATATATCCATACTTGTCTATATATATAAGCAAAATACTTGAATGATCCATACTTGTCACATCCAAATCACAATTTTTCCAGCATCACACCACAAATTATCCATACTTGTCTATATATATAAGTAAAATACTAGATAGAAAGACATGTAAAATGAAGGAATGTTTAGCTCAATCAAAAAGCCATTCTAGGACATGAGTTGGCAATTCTTCTCGCGCCTCATCCAATTCCATTTGGGTGTACGTGTCCTTCCGTCTAACTCTATATGAAGAGAAAAAGAAAACATGTAGAATGTAAACACAAACAATGTGTAATATGAATATAAGATTTTGTCACTTCAAATTAACCAATATGCAAATTTATGAAATCATAATGGTGAACAAGAAAATCTAATTTGTCAACCAATCTAATTAGATACCAAGAAGTCATTAAATGGATCCCACTTCATGTTTCAACTAGCAATTAAATGGTCATGTGATGGGATAGAGAGTTGGACAAGAACATCTAGCATTTCTTCTTAATTCAATGGTTAGGCAGGCAGTGTTATCTTTCCTCTTGATTTTAACAATTTAGTTTTTAAATAAACACAGAACAAATTAGTTAAATGACATTTAACTACTGTGACTATTTTAGTAAATTTTTTTTTCCATTTGGCAAACTGATCATGAAGAAATAGTGGACGCTCTGGGAAGTTGACATCGTGCATACCACATTTGTCTACCTGCAATCTACCATAATTACATTAAATCATAAGGTACACATAAATTTCACGGGACAATGCATCTGCATACCAGATGGTTCTTCACAAAATTCATCCAGACCTGCAAGGTTTCTGTACTTGACCTTAGAAAGCAGCCTCACTTATGTTCAAGGAAACATACTACACAGAAATCAGATTGATAATGAAGCTGTGTTTCCCTGTTTGTGTCATCTTCAAATTGCAAGATGTTTTTTCATAACAAACCAGACCTGTAAGCAAATAAAGAGGGACTCAACCAACTACTTGCTGATCTTCAGCGTATAACTCATCATAAATAAACATGAACCAAAGATCAAATCTAAAACTAAAAACTAATCAGCAATCAATATGAAACATATACAAGATTGAAATTCTCATTAAATTAGTTTTAAAAACCTAAATTTCTGCCAAATACCAAGATAGATTTGACCCCAAACACCAAAACAAATTAAAACTGAAATGAAAAATAAAGAATTCTTACCAAAATGTGGAGCAGTCAGTGGTCATGGGGTAGTGGCGTTGATCCTTGGCAGCAGAGGAAGAGGATTAAAAAATAAAAATGGAAAATAAAAATCAGAAAGGAAATTTTTTTGAATCATAATCAAAACAAAGCACCTGCCTCAAACGCTATGTTCAGACCTTTCATCGAACACTTGGGCGGCACCATTTTTAGGCAGATCCACACAATCAGTCGAACACCTGCTATCTGCTGCGCCAATCACGATTATCTGGCTCAGAATAACGAGCTTGGGGTTGAGGTTGCAACTAAAGAAAATTGAAGTAAATGAGTACTATGTTGCTACTCTTACTCCTGCCTAGTATGCAAAACAAATGGGAATCAATGTAGATAATCTCTTGGAGTTATTTCAGTCAATGATAAATCAAGATCACATAAGCATTCATGAACCAACAACAATTTGATAAACCCATGTCAAAACACAGAGATATGCACCAACCTAGTTGTGGTTTTCAAACAGAACAGCCTATAAAGCTTTAGCCCATGGCCTTAACTTTCTGTCCACTGAACCATATCCTCCTCATGATGCAAAGATTCAGGACTCTAAACTATCTCTCCGAGTCATTTGTTGTTAGAGAAAAATACCTGCAACATATTACCAAATAAGTGTCCAGCCAGCGTGTCTATTGTACCTTAAAAAGAAGACAGTTTCACTAAAACACCCAAAATAGGGGCTGAAATTATAAAAAAACCCACCACCCAAAACACTTTATAAACACACCCAAAACCCATCATTACACACACTCAAAATCCATTTATAAACACACCCAAAAAAATATACAATTGTTGATTTTGGGTGTATTTCTATGTTTAAATAGTGTTTGGGTTTTTTTATAAATACACGTATAGGATTGGGTTTATTTATAAATTTGTATAAAAAGAAAGACATAAAATTCGAAAGAAAAGAAAAACTCCAACAATAACAAATAGAAGCCACATTTAGTCAAAGTAGTGCACCAAATTTAACCTTATGTCTCTAACTCTACTCAATACAAAATTTCATCAAAATAAACTAAATTTATCAGATAAAAAGGACTAATAAATATATTTTAGGAATATACATTAAGATATAACATATGCTCATCAACAGCCATAAAATACCATTAAT